CTTGTGATCAAAAGAAAATATATATGCTTCTCGTGGATATTTATGAGCGTTCAGACAAGGAGGAGGTATAGTTGCATTTTACGAATTTAAATTGAACTATTATGAAAATTCTATCATTAAATGGTTAATTTGTTTAAATCTATAGCTTGCACAACAAACATATCAAACTATGTTGAAGAAGTTTTCTCAAAGTTCCAAAGTTTGGACAAAAATGGGATTGTTTCATATCAAGCATGGTAACGTTCAAGCTTCTCGTGATTTACTTCAACGAAGTTTGCGTTCCTTGCCAAAACGAAAACGTAAGAATAGTTCATGTAATTTTTGTGCAATTAACATTCGTATACAAGTTGTGTTAAACATATTCATAATACTTTTTTAGATATTAAAACCATAACTAAATTTGCACAAATGGAATTCAAATATGGAGAGGCTGAGAGGGGTCGTACAATATTTGAAGGAATGATGAGTAATTATCCTAAGAGAGCAGATTTGTGGTCTGTATATATTGATATGGAAATAAAGGCTGGTGATTTCGATATAGTTCGGTAGGAATAGTTAATAAAATACAGTAAATAGTTGTTGTTTTATATAACATAGTTTATTCATTTCATTTTATAGGCGTCTTTTCAAAAGAATTATTGAAATGAAGTTTTCATCAAAAAATATGAAATTTTTCTTTAAAAAATGGTTAGCATTTGAAAAGGAACATGGTAATGAAGAACATATAAATCATGTCAAAGAAATGGCGCAAAGTTTCGTAGAATCATTAAATTAGCAATTGGTGGAAATTTTTATTTTCAAATGTATCAATTTAATTCGGGTAGAATTTTACGCGTAATATTCCATCTTTATTAACGTATGAATGATGCGGTTGTAACCCACTTTATAGGTTATTTATTATACATGTCAGAACATTTATGTTATTAACCATTCTAATCTGCGCCAAATTAATAAAACTCTTGTTATTTTTCGGTTTTATTTTTAAATCTTTTTATTGTATAATATTAATATTTGTTATTAAGACTAATAAATATCGTTTCTCTAATTTTTGAAACATAAAAATTAGAAATTTAAATATAATTAAATATATAGGCTGACACCTCTATATGAATAAAATAGTTTGTTTTTATGCTTTAACATCGTTATCAGTTGTTCTAACCATATACGATATTTTATCATAAGAGTTCACAAATTTTTATATTACAATTTCAAAAACTAATCCCGAGTTTTTTGCACATAGCAATGGCATTATGTTGATCCTTCTTAGCAGCCATTCTCAAATACTCGGCTCCAATTTCTTGATTTTTTGTTACTCCTTTTCCAATCCAATAAGCACTTCCGACATTATACATAGCTGTAGGATTTCCATTATCAGCTGCTAACTTTAAGTATCTTATAGCCTCATCCCAATTGACCTGAACACCGTCACCTTGCCACAAACAGAATCCGTATCGGAGTTGAGCCTCAACTTTACCATGATCTGCAGCTTCTTTAAACAATGCTGCCGCAAGTTGGAGATTTCCTTGCCGATTTTCTTTATCTTTATGTTCAGGAAGGATGGAATGATACAGATAATAACCAACCCAGTATCTGGCAATCATGTCACCCTGTTCAGCGTGGACCTTAAAGCTATCCCATGCTTTTTGCTTATTTCCGTCGGGTTTTCGGTGTTCTTTAATTGCTCGATCTACACTCATTATATCATCACCATCAATTATAAAAGCATCTTCAAATTCATCCATATATGGGATTTTTTGTTCCTCTTTTTGATGATAATCATAAAGGACGGTGAATATTTTAGCAATAGTTGGACGGAAATCTGGATCATGATTTAGAGCTTTAAAAATATATAGAAAATTAGTATAATAAATAATTATGTTTTAAAAATATTTTATTTAAATTTAATAATAGAGGTCTGATCCGATGAATAGTATATTCGAATATATAATTGTTTCACTGAATTGAATATTCGAATATAAAAATTTTTCACCAAATAATTCATTGAATATTCAATGAATATATACTATTTAATCGACCAATTAAATGCAAGGTTGGGTATATAATTATCAGCTAAAAGTAGGTGAACAAGATAAATCATTATTAGCTAGAAGTTTATCTTGTGTATTTAAACTCTCAATTATTCAACTTCATAATATTGTCTTACTGTAATTCATTATTGTTTCGAATCAACAACTCTATTTTATAATCATCAATATTCAATGAATATTTAGTGAATATTCGAATATTCGTTTGAAATTTGCTGATGAATATTCGAATATTAAAAAGATTGAACGAATGAATATTCGAATACTTATTTTTCGACCGGATCAGACCTTTAATATAATAGTACCTGCATATGCAATGTCCTGCCAAACTTTGGGTACATTTGAAGAAAATGGTTCACGATACTTCTCTTTAACAACACGGTCCCGAATAGTCTGCAAATCTATTCCTAGTCTGGTATAAGGTATCTCTTTTTCAGCAATTTCCCATAAAAGAGCTCCTAAACTAAATATTAATTTAAATGCTGTTTAACCAAATTATATAATGTAAATAAATATAAATAAATTGAGCAAATTTTGATGCTTTGATATGTACCTATAAATTTCACATCTAACATTATATCGTTTTTTATCGCCATGTTCTAATTTCTCAGGTGCCATATACCTCACATTCTCAAGACTAACTTGTATATTCCTGGTAATATCTCCGAACTTACGACTTAAACCGAAGTTGGCAATTTTAGCTTTATGATCACGGTTTATTAATATGTTTGCACCTCTGATATCATGGTGCAGAATCTGTTAGCATAAATATAAATTAGAAGTAAGTTTACTGTTTAAAGCATTGTTCGTTAATATTGAAGATATTCGACATACCTCTTGAGAATTCAAGAAAGCAATTCCTTTACAAATATCAATTGCAAATTCAAATCTCTTACTCCAATCCAGTCTATTATTTTTGTAATAATCTCGCAAATTACCATTTTCCATCCACTCTGTCACTAGAAAATATTTTAAATCATCAGAAGACACAATTCCAAAAAACCTAATAATGTGTTCTGAATCTTTTAATTCTTTTAGAATAGCAAATTGTTGACTAAGGTCTTTTTTTTGATCTTCGGTAATCTGAAAAACTTCTTTAAATGCATATTCTGAAAGGGTCGCCTGACTCCATCTACAATGTATGGTCTTACCACGCGGTGGACAATCGCGTTTAGGTTCGTAATCTTCTAGTCTTAAAAAGGATTGATGTTCAATTGAGACTTCAGCGCCTTTACGTAGGCCTCGTTGATAACGAACGTTTAAATCCCTAATTCTTTTGATGCTTGTAAAGGTATTTTTCTCTGAACCAGTTTTACTATCAGACATTTCATGCATGAACTATAATAGATGCAAAGAACGATTTAGGTATAAATATAGAATACATAATCTATAATCTCATTACCAAAATTATATATAGCATACCTTTTTCATTTCTAGCAAATCTCCCCTAATAATGGCGATTTGATATTGTAGCTCTAAATCATTTTTTATTTTTTCAATCGTAGTATCATTTTGTGTTTTTATCTCATCATTTCGTGCTTCATTTCGCTGAAGATACTGAAGCGTAATATTATTTTGTGTTTTTATAACCCAATCAACTTTATCGTCGTTGGTAAAATGTTGAGATTCATTTCTGCTTATGTCAACAAATATTCATGGCATACGTTAGTAAAGTGATTAGTAAGTAAGCATTATTTGAATCCTTGTCAACTTAAAGAATGTTTATTATACATGTCGCAAAACTACTCACCGCCTGCGCATTTTATGAATTACAATGAAACGATGGTTTGTTAAGCCTTTTAATTACACACTCTTAATTTGAATGAAATAAATAATACTTACTGACTATTAAATTGGCTAGGGAAATGATATTAGTAAAAAAAATAAGCATTAAAAATGCTAATATCAAATACCTTGTTATCTGCATTCTGTTAGTATGATATATATGTGATTAGAAATGTCGCTTGATAGATTAAAAATTTTTATATATTTTAATTTCCAAGACTATTCACCTTTAAAGCTCATTTACGACTTTATCAATTGTAGGACGTTTTTTCGGATCATCATGCCAACATTCTTAGTAGATAATTATAATTATTCAATATTTGAACGGTAATAGCGATTAGAACTGTACAAATATATGTAACTAACCAGTGTATAAAGCAGAATATTGTGGTGGGGTTCCTTCGATGGGAGTCTCTCTACAACCATTTAACATCTTAATATACAGACCGCTTCTATCTGCATCCTCAAACGGGAGACGTAAACTGGATATTTCCCATAAGAGCACACCTAAGCTGTATATATCAGACTCCTTATTTATTTCCTGTAATTTATTCTCAGAATTCATAAGGATATGAGGATCAATGTATGCTAAATAGCCAGCAAGCCCTGTGCTAGTCCTTGATGCATCAGACAAACATCTAGACAGACCAAAGTCAGCAATCTTAATATTGGTTTTGTGAATTAGTATGTTATTTGAATGCTGTATGTATTGTAATTATAATGTTAGATACAACAGTACAAGTATTTAAACTATATTAAATTACAAGCTTATTAAATTTTAATTACAAGATCTCTGTGGACAATATCTTTTAATTGCATATGCATAATAGCTTCGGCAAGTTGTAGAGCGAGACGGAACTTATCGGACCAACTGAGTTTTGGGTTTTCCTTTAAATAATTTCTTAATGTACCACTATCTGCGAACTCTAATACCAACGCATAACTTGACTCGGAATCGTATTGATCAGCTAGTTGATTATTTACCAATTAAATATTAGCTTAGCATTAGGAATTAAGTACGTACGTCAATACTAGTGATGCGTCCAAATGATGCCGTAACTTTTGCTGTAGCTCTCTCTGTAATATGTAATACAGTAATTGTCGCGGCTGATGCTGGAAACGGCTGATGCTTGAAATTTTAATTATTTTAATATGAAATTTTCAAAAATTTTTTGGGGCCTTTTGTTAGGGGTTTTTTTTTTAGGGTTGGGTTAGGGTTTAGTGGTAGTTTTAATAATAAAAGAGTATAAGTAGATTTTGGTAGGGTTTTTATTTTTAAATCAAGGACCCTAATTTCCAGCATCAGCCGTTTCCAGCTTCAGCCGCGACAATAATTATAATGAGCTATGGCATTTTTGCCGTAACTTTATTTACAAGTTATGGCAAAAGTTACGGCAATTCGCCTGCACCTCTAGTCAATACATAATCTTAAAATCAATTAAAGTTATATAACCTTTCATTTTCGTGATTCCGTAAATTTGTATAATGTTATTATTTACACCCACTTTTTTGTGCGAATTAATCTGGATGGGTTTATATTATATTATATAATATATATATATATTAAATTACATCTTTAAAATTACACCTAAGTTGTTTTAACATAACATATGTAAATTCATCATTTTTTTTTACCTCCTTTAATATAATCTTTCGAGAAGCTTCAGATTCTTCAACTAACCTGAAATTTTTCAATGCAACATGCTTTAAATTCAAGTTCATTAATTCAGCATAGTACACATCTGCAAACCCTCCTCTACCAATTCTCTTAAGACCTTTAAATTGATTTAAATCATAGTAATCTAAACCTAAGTCTTTTAAATCACTTTCAGTTATCATGATTTAAATTTATAGCTTATGAGAATAATCATATATCGATATAGTGCGAATAATTTAAAAGAGCGATATTGTTGCACATCATTTTCTTCTTATACTTGCGTAATGTTACACCAAACTACCTCACAAGTTTTGATGAAACAAATTTACTTTAACGACGGATAATGCATGTAATCGATGACAAACACCGTATTTGTGCTAAAATAAAGGGATTTAATGCGTTACAGAGGATTTATGTGATTTGCTTTTACGAAATAGGCACACAACTAAATGCATATGAAGATACAAATAGCTGTAATAATCTGAGTCACTCTTTATTGTTATTAGAGTTTATTGTGCGATTTGGGGTAATAGGGCTATTTAAACATGTTAATTACTGCGGCTAATGACTATAATTTTATCCCTGGGGTAATATCTACAAGTTATACTATATCAGTTATCTATTCTAACGGCTAGATATACAAGATATAATATATCCAATATATATAATAGAGCTAATAAAATAAAATGTATCTTAAGAACTAATAAAACTAATAAAACTAGAGAATTGTTAATGCCACCCCCATTTTTGTTAATGCCACCCCCCCAAATTTTATAAAAGTGCTCCGGAAGAGATATTTTTATTAAGTAAAACCTTATTTTGAGCTTAATAAAAGTTGTTCGTCAGGCCTTTCCGGTTCTAATGGTAGTAAAATCATTAAAATTGGGCCAGTAATATTTGTTTTAAAGTTAACTAACTTTGGACATATATATCTTAGGAACTACCGGTCAGATTTTAATGATTTTACTATCATTAGGCCTGTTGAATAACTTTTATTAAGATCAAAATAAGGATTTACTTAATAAAAATGTCTCTTCCGGAACAGTTTTTTAAATTTTGGGGGTGGCATTAACAAAAATTGGGGGTGGCGTTAACAATTCTCTAAAACTAATAGCATTAATAATATTGTGTTGCATTTCAGTTATTAGACGAAACTAGTCATATGGTTAACAGTCATTGAGGTCTCGTGACTGGATTGTGTTATCAAGATTTAAGGCGATTTCTGAGTCTAACAGTAACTAAGAAATGCATAATCCAGTAATCTGTAAATGACTATAGTTGCTTGACAGACCTTTTTGGCGTGATGATGAAAGGCGAAATAAAAACCGGCGAAAGATGAAGGATGAGTGTTGAAACCCAAAATCTTCTGTCTATAGAAAATTTAGTACTGACGATCCATTTATGATATTGATATACGGCGCCGGTCAATTGTCACAACAAATGGACTAAATTAAATTTGGCTAATGTTATTAGAAAATTTTGGTCATTTGTTATTGGCCGGTAGTTAGGGTTGTAAAATTACCGTAACTTTCGTAATATAGTGTAGACTTCTGAAATGTAATTTTGATATCATGTGAATAATGTAGCCAAAATTTCACAATACCTGGTGTACTTTTGAATATAAAATTATAGTTTCGAACGTAGTGATAAATCTAATAATACTGGTAAAACTTTCATAATCCATTATCAAGTAATATTACATTACAATTTTGTAAGTTTAACAACGTAATTTATTTGTAATTTATGTAATTTTCAACCCTACCGATAGCCAAACTTGGCTGAAGGGCCAAAAGTGTTTTCCGCCAACAGATTTTAATATACAATTATAACGGCACTATGGGGTGCCCTAATTTCTCCCCAAGTTCTGATTGGATACTGTCAATACTTATTCGCAACGCAAAATTTCGAAAGATTTTCAAAAATCGATAGTAACTCAAAATTTGCTTATGAAACTACTTTTTGCGTTCTAATAAAAAAATTCCTTGCAAAATTTTAGTTTAATACATGCCATAACGGCATGTTTTATTATTTTAATATACGACCGTATTTGATTGTTTTGATTCGAATCAAAGTCTGATGTAATTTTGTCCAATCAGGGATAAGATTTCTGTCCAAGTTAACAATTTACAGTATAAAAGTTGAATTCGATGGCCACATATTTACTGATTATGCAAGAATGCCGATTACGCATCATTTTTTATTTTAATACAGTAATAACCCTTAACCTTTGGTATGATCACCGCGAGACGTTAGTACCCTAATCTATCAGCAATTCTTGAATGTGTGCCAGGTTGGTGGCGCATTAATCAGCTACAATGGAATGATCTCTTCTATTTCAGTATGTATAATATAGTGTAAAATTTCTTTTTGAATGAAAACTTCACCATGTGCTTCGTCAACCGTCCTGTACTTTGAATGTTTCTATTTTCTTTTATGAATTGAAGAAATAATAGAAATATGAATATCTATACAGAACTATTGAACTATTATAATTTTTAAAATTTTTAGTTCGTTCATTATAAAAAGGTTCATTATAAAGAGAGTTGACCACGCCTAATATTAAGTAGAGTATATTACAGTAATTTCGGAAGTATTTAAGATTTCAAAGCTTATAAAATTTGGTTTTAAAGGTGAAGCCCCTTTAACAATAAGGAACACTACTATTATAAGGAAAGCTTTTTTCATTTAAAGAACTTTTTCTTATAAACTATATAGTACGTGTTTATTAGCTAACATATTTTGTTTATTTAAGATTTACTGTATTATCATACCTTAAACATTAGAACTTTGACGAGTTGTTATCTGAAAAATTTGAAAATTATAACGTACTGTATAAACATAAAAGTAAAAGAATACGAATATTTTTTGAATTCAAGAGCATTTGATTCGAATAGTATATGGACTGATTTGGGTAATTTATAGTTAAGGTTTATTTTTTTAAACTTTAACTTTAATCTTAAAGTTTTAAAAAAATAAACCTTAATTATAAATTACTCAAATCATCCATATGGGATAATTAAAAAATAGTGTTTTGCTCTATTAAAATTTATAATTTTTATTGTATTATTGTTATTATTATTATAGAATTTTTGATTGGCGCAAATTACTTGGGCTGATTAATGCGCCACCAACCTGGCACACATTCAAGATACGTAATGAGGTGGCGTCCATAATTTAAGTGCTGTATTATATAGAAATAAGGCGGCATCCATAATTTACGTTAAACCAGTGCTGTATTGTATATAAATGGGGAACCTTGATGATAATACCCTTAAGATTCTATAACAATACTGGTTTAACGTAAATTATGGATGCCGCCTAATGATAATACCATATGTAGTGTTCTGACCCGTCTCAAAAATCCCAACCCGGGTCACCCGCGGGTGACCCACCCGGGTGACCCGGGTGAGTCCCAATGACAGAAAAAATTCTGCCACGGGTCACCCGCGGGTGGGTCAGGGCGTAATCCAAAATCTTGATATGCTTGTTACGTACATACGTACGTTGTAGAAATGGTAATTAATAATACAAAGACGAATCTATCTAACAAATAAGTAATGTACAAATCCTATTTATTTTTTACTTAATAATCTTCTTTATTATAAATTGTTAATTAATTGATACCGCTTTATGCTTAACACGCCTAAAATTTCACATCGACAACGTCAAATTAAACAAATAAATAATCTTTTAAAGACACTTATGAACGAATACTCAA